AACCTATACAATAAATAGTTCCCACTAAATAGGCAATTTATTTTAAGTTCAACGCGGTCACTTTTAATTCCTTAAAAATATTAAACTTTCTACATTTTTAAGCACATGGACAGCCAGCCGCACAATTCGAAGTGCCCCATTCGTTCAGGCTTGGTTGTCCTGGGCCCCCCAGCTTCTTAACCTGCTTGCAGTGGATGAGCAGACCAGGCCACTCTTTGGCGTAGACAAGCCTCTCTGTCGCTTGCCCGTGTGTGATTTCACTCCTGTTGGCCGTTGGGCACAGCACGGCTGCACTTCGTTTGCGAGATCGCCCGTTGCTGGTCCGACTACCATCAGGTGGGCCGTCCTGTAATGGCATTTGGCTGGCACCCCAGTTTTTGATCTCAGACAAAGTTCATATTGTTTTTCGAACATTCCGCCCGCTCGCTTTGAATGCGCTGGAGCGTCAACTTACTGATGCTACCGACGTTCACTCGGCTCCTCGCATTACGGGAAAGAAGTGCTGGGCCTTAGGGAGTACACATGCTCAGATTCTAGTAGATACGGTCAATTTTCCAAGGCTCATGCCAAACTCTCCACTCGATGTCACTAGCCACCTGAAATAGCAGTACCAGTGGGGGGGGGGATGGCGCATTTATTGAAACCTTCACATAATCTTAACCCCCATAAAATCGAAAAAAAAAACAAAACCACAAACAAAACACAACAAAAAAAACAGAGTTCCAGTGCTCCATACCGCTTGCCCTTGCCAATATTAGTATCTAATCCCTTGTGGTTTTTGTTTGTTTCTTTTTTCTTTTCTTTTTTTTTTTTTTTTTTTTACATTTGAGCGCCAGTCGATGAGGAGTAGTATCTCATGATCGTCTAAATTTGCATTTCTCTGCTGACTATTTTGATCAACTTGGTTTAGTCTCTCTGGAGATATTCTCGTGCTGAGGGAATATCTCCTTTCACAACTTTCTAACCCTTCAACAGTTGGTTAGTATTCTTTTCTCAATTTATGTTATTTTAATTCAGAAGCTACAGGATTCTATGAGTTGGTTATTGGTTTTCACAATACAATTTCTCCTTTCAAAGGACAATTGTCTATCTGCAGAAAGAAAAGAATATAAAATCATTAAATTGCTTAAAATTAAAGAACAAGGAAATATCTTCTCTAGTCTATGCCTTTCTGAACTGTTTAACCATCCTCACAACTGGGGTTTTCTTTTTTTTTTTTCTTTTTGAACACGAGTCTCTACTTTGTTGCCCCAGGCTAAGTGGAGTGCCCGCTGGCGTCAGCTGGCTTCACAGCAACCTCCAACTCCTGCTCAACCGCGATCCTCGGCTGCTCCAGTCCTCTCCCAGTAGCTTGACTGAGGAATGCGGCCCACCATGCCCCTGAGCTAATCTTTTTCTAATAGTATTGCTTTAGATGTCCCAATTAATTCTTTCTATTTTTTTCTATTTTTTAGTAGCGACTAATGGCTAATCTGCTCAGGTTGGTTTCGACACTCCTGACCTTGAGCGATCCTCGCCGCGCTGGGCCTCCCCGAGAGTGCTACGGATACATGGTGTGAGCCACTGGTGCCTGGCCTCCAATGGGGATTTTTTTGATGAACAGTTTTATGAAGTGTAACTTATCAATATTTCTTTTTATGGTTATATTCTGTTGCATAAATCTACACCAGTTCCAAGGTCAGGAATATATACCCCACCAACATCCCATGGTTACTTTTAAAAACACACAGCCTGCACAGGCGAGGCATCAAGAATGGCTGCACAGGGGTACAGTGGCCTACACCCATTACAACTTATTTAAGCTGCATATGCTAAAGGTCCAGCAGATGGTGGTGTTGCTACATAAAAAGTAGATGCTAAAAAGAAGATTTGATAGTTTTCAAACAGCGCTATTTTAAAAAGTTTTTTTTTTTTTTTTTTTTTGAGTAGTTTGAGAAACGTAGAGTAAAAACTCAACCTTCAAGGCCGGCACAGGTAGGTACAAACAAAAAAACCAACAAGGACTAGAATACTAAATATTGGCAAGGGCAAAGGTATGGAGCTACTGGAACTCTTTTTTTTTTTTTGCTTTTTTTTTTTTATTTCAGCATATTATGGGGGTACAGATTTTAAGGTTTACTTAGTTGACAGGAGTGCAATTTGGCATGAGCCCTTTGGAAAATTGAC